TGCAACACACCTCGTAGGCATTTTAGCTACAAATTCTTCACGAGCAACACAGCCACTACAGTGAAATGACTAGCGGCGAAACACGTTTCGTTCCTGGGTATACGTCACAACTGCCGCTGGACCCATTCCCCCCAGAACTCGGCCGTGAAACAAAATGGCGCCGATTTAGGGCGATTTCGCGTTTTCGGCGGGCCATAGCAAATTGAGGATTCAACCAAGCTCAAAATTTTTTTCGCCGAATTAGTTTTAACAGTAAGTGGATTCATTTTAGCGAAAAACAATTTGGGGGTTAGGTGCACTTTAAAGCTACGTAGGCTATGATAAATCGACTCAATAAAACATTATAGACAAATTTTATCAAACATTTTATTAGTGTAACTAGTAAAAAGAGGAATGTAATTTCCGATAATAATCGATAATAATCGATACCAATCGATGAATCAATCGTTATCGATTACTCTCGGCAATCGATAACTCACAACTTTTTTCTTCATCGATTTTTATCGACTACTATGGGCAATCGATTAATATCGATTATCGGTTTATTGATTGACCACGCCTGGCAAGGGAGTATAAGGGACACAGACGCTGTGGCCGTATATCTTTCCAAAAAAGTTCTAATGTCAAAGCCGCTCATAACTATGGTTACACAGGCAAAATTTACAGTCGAACTGACTCCACAGCGACCTCTTTGGGGAAGGAGGAAACTGAGTGGCCGTTGAGGAGAGGTGGCCGTTATGGGGAGGTAGGGATTTAATATGACACCTGTTTTTTTTCAAAGGGGCAACATTTATATTGCCCATTGTAGCATGTAAATTTAATACGTACGTAACATCATCCCAATATATCAATAAAGCCTCTTCCAGGCGTTCAGTTAGTTACTTGATACGAAGCGAGAAAAATTGCGCATGGAAAAACACTGTAGGGGACTGAAGCGCCGCGCAAAGCCTATCTCCTTTATGTAGCTCCGCCATTTTTACGCGCTGCGCCTTAACCAGCTGAACGCCGGAAACAGAGACTAACGAGGCGCGTTACGGGTCAAGTTTCGTGATCTTTTACAATAAAAAATGAGATAAATTTATGTATACACCGATCGTCAGTCGTTGATTAACTGGCCGTTTTCGAGAGGTTATTTTGGCTTTTGGGACGCGCTTAGGTGGATGTTGCCGTTGTGGAGAGGCTAAAATAAAAGTAAATGTATGGACCGTCCGCCGAAACTCAAAAACAGTGGCCACGGTAGAGGTGGTCGTTAGTGGAAGTGCGGCTACAGGTAGTCTGACAAGATGTCAATTATATTGGTCAACCTTAACCCTTCTCTCTACGCCCTCCTCCCCAATAACGTCCACGCTACCAATGTACGCCAAAAAATAAAAACAAAGAAACAGCCCGGTTTTCTTTCAACGTATTTTATTATCGCCATTACATACCATATTATTGTAGCAGATTAGTAAACATCTCTACTTGTTGTTAAACATTGTTTTTCAGTTGCCAAGAACACCGAGCCGTTATTTTCTTACTTTCTTCTCTATTTTAAGGTGCAAATTATCTGAATATAATGTTGAGCTAATGAATAAATGAATCTGTAAAGAGAATTTTCCGTCTAATATATTAATTTAATTCAGAAGGACCAGTTCTTATTTCCCCTCCCTCCCTCTTTTCCGTACTGCTAACATAATATGAAACTTAGGCCCGATTCAAACGTCGAACTTAGCATGTGCGAGTAATACCCATTTATATGTATTTGAGTCGACATAAGGTTCGGCACATGCAAAAGTCGACTTTTGAACCGGGCCTAAATCAGTAAGGCACATACATTATGCTATAACACATATGCACTGAGAACTTTCGTTACTAACTACGACCCTCTTTGAGGGAACTAAACAAAATAAATGCTCTGAAACAAAGCTCAATAACATGCACTTCAGGAATCTCTCCCACACGAGTGCATCAGGCATTGTTAGGTTTGGCCCGGAAAATTTAAAATGACAGCCACACGGAAGTGTAAATTCAGTCGTCCGCTGTTTTTAAACCACTTAACTCTATGGTATAGCAGGAGGGCAGAATAGTGCAACTTACCGCGAGATTGACAATGCAAGAGACACGGGCGACTCACCACGACAGCGACTTAATAATGCATCTTTCTGACATATTTAGTAAAATACCGACTCTAAAACTTTAATTTTTCAATGTGAAATCTTTACCAAAGCAACAAAATCTTATAGATAAATTGGTTTTCTTCGCAGGGCTTTGGTCCTGCCAATGAGTCCATCTTTCATCCGAGTGAACGACGAAGTGGATTTCGTCGACCGATCATTTGACGAAGATGCCCGAAGCTTTTCAGTCGACTGACTCCGAAGTCTGTCCAATGAAAACGGTCCTTTGGATGAATGCTTCGGCTTCTCTTCGGAAACCGACTGTTCAGTCGGGTACCGCGATGTGGGCGCTCGTATCTTGTCTACAGGTAGAGGTCGCATCCATTCGCTGGCAGACGATCCCTTCACCTTGTGAACCGTAAATGGCATTTTCGGTTTCTCGTCATTACAAGACTCAGCCGCCTTTCCAGTTGGCGATGGAAGCTTCTGTCTGTCCCTGGACTGAGACGCAGTTTTGACTTTTTCCACGTTAAACGGGCCGTGTGTACGGTTCTTACCTACGTCACCATTCATGCGTTTGGACGACGAAGACGTGTCATTACTGTTTTCATTTTGTTTACGGTAAACATAAGACACACGACTGTTATTGTTGTTGTTATTAGTTTTGTCATCAGATCCATCTCCTTCCTCTTTTCGCCTCATCCGCGGATGAATTTCAAATGGTCTCGATGGAGTCTTCAAGCTCTCCTGAGAATTTCGACTTGATCGTTTTTTCTTGTCACTTTTCTCAAACGAAGGAGTCCTTTTAACAAATGAAGGTACTTTCAAGTTTCCAGACTCCTTCATCTTTTCACGATGGCGAAGATAGCTAGACACGGAACTTTGCACAACTTCTCTTACTTGTTTATTATCTTCCGACGTTGTAACTTCGTGAAAAGCACAGTTAAGTTCAGTGGACAGATCATTTCCTTCTTCAAACTTCACTCGCCGAAAATGTTCCAGGTCACACTTGTTTGCAACAATCACCATGGCAACTGAATCCCCGTTTGGACTGTCCTTTATAAAACGTCCAATGCGTTTTGCTTCCTCAAAGCTTGCACGATCCGTGATAGAATACAAGATGAAGAAAATATCACCTTGACGACATATTAGGCTCAACTTCTCGGCTGTGTTCTGAAAATTCAAATAAACAGCATTCAAAATTCCAAGTGACATACTCATTTTAGGACGAACGATTTCTTTTCGCCAATTACAGGCAACAAATATGTGAACTACATCAATACGTTTCGCGATAAAGACTATAGCTACTGAAGCGTTTTCCCGCGAAAATAAACCAGCTGCTGACGTATTGTCCCGCATATACCACACGTCGTGTGTTTCCCCGCGCTTATCACTAGTGACGTATTTTTATACCCTTGTCATTGGTTGAATGCCCTCTCTGCCTTCCATTCTGATTGGTCTATTGGATCTTTGAAACGATGCCTTATGAGTAGGCCGGATAATCTGATGACAAATGTTCACCGACTGACAAACTTGGCTAAACCACATCACTAGACACTTAGAGTGCGCTACTGGAAATGTGCCAATCTGATTGGTTCTTTCGTCGTTGTTTGTTCACCAATAGAACTTAATCGTATGTGTGATAAACTTTTGAGGAAAAACTACCATTGTTTTGGCTTAAAACTACCTGGATTTATAGTTTTATGACTGTTACTCTTCAGATACTGTCTACTAAAGCAATAAGTTAACGAGTTAGAGTTAAATATAACTTAGAAAACAAGGCGGAGTCCAAAGAAAACTCAGGCTCGTTATTACTGAATATTAAGGAGACCACCCAAAACAGACAAAATTTAACAAATAGATTCCATATTGTCGTGCGTCTGTTCAGTAATAGATCACAGACGACGTCAAAATGTGGTGAGATCAAAACTGTGGAACACAAGTCGGCAACATGGAATCTTTTCGTTTTTTGACAAAGAAACAAAAATTTGTGAATGACGTCATCTATGCATCTGTTCTCCAATAGATCGTAAGTAAGAAGCAGTCAAACTGCGAGAATAATTTGACATATTATATAACACAAAATAGCCCGACAAACAGCACCACACCTCTCCTGCAGTATCTGCGATCTCCAGTTCTACTTCCTCATTTTCCATTTCAACGTGAGATCTGTAAGTTCCCTCTGAAAAGGAAGTCAAGTGAAAGAGAGCATGAAATTCAAGACTGTCTTGTCAAATGACGTTTAAAAGACAAGCGTTCTGTTCGCTGCGTTGAATTGCTGCTGATTAGGGCAATGAGCTGGCAAGAAAATCTTTAATCCGTGAATGTTCAAGGAGCCAAAAAACTAGATTTCTTAGGCGCCGTCCTCAATACGCTGGAAAAATTTGAAAACGTGGCTTTTTTCTAGGGTTAGGCCTACCGTCCACGCTAAATCCATCACGAAAACGGAGCTTTTTCGAAAACGCTTATCAAACCATTTTGAAAACGGAGCTTGTCGATATATGGTGATGACAGCACGATGATAATCAGATGATTTCCCTACCCGAGGTTTCCTCAAGCACAAATCCAAAATGAACGGTGATTGTTGCGTTTTCAGTTTTGTCCCGCATAGTGTGGAAGGAAAACATTTGGTGCTTTTACAGAGTGAAACCTCCGTTGTTAAATTCTTCAAGTGTAGTGTAGACGGGGCCTTAGGGTAACGGTTGTTGGAGCTGTTGTGGTTTGGTGGTAGTGATAGTGGTGTTGTAATTGTTATTATTACTACCTCATATTAAGGGATCTACGAAATTCATGGTTAGAAAACTTAGATCTCGAGCACTGACTGGTGTCAGGGATTAGCAGCGACGAAAGAGCGCGCGCGCTAAAGAGCGAGTTATGAAAGAGGCTGGGGCGAGTTTGTGTTCACGCGAAAAGCTTGAGAATTAAATGGCTTGTAGAGTTGAACAACAGAAATCACCTACCAAGAGCTCGAGCGTATTCCCCAATAAACCGCCTGGTCATAAAGCGGACAATGAGAGCTGGTGAAAGAGAGAGTTCAACTGTAAATGATTAATTAAACTGAAACTCTTGGGGAAGCGTGCATTCTGATTAAAGTTATCGCTTGGCAGAGGGTCTTTGTTTATAACAACACGAGAAAGATCTGGAAAGATTACAAAACGTTGTTCACCAATTTATTTTGTCGCACTTGCGAAAAATCAAGGGAAGTGCTGTCAGAATTAAAACACAACCTGGTTCTCAGTGATTTTTAATTTGCAGTTCATAGCAAATTTTTCCTGAAATAATCGTATTTCCCACAGTAACTGAACGAACGTAAATCACATTTTAATGTATAATATTGTTCGGTTGCTTATTCAAGCGCAGAAAGCTGCTCGTCAGTGTGATGAACAGCACTGCGAAAAGTTTTGATCGCTTAATTTCTAGAGACCAAGGAAATAACAATCAAATATTATGAAGGGCGCATCAACTGATTATTAATAGATCTTGGGATTACGTAATCAGTGTGTAATGAGAATAAACCTTTTGTGAATTGTACCAAGAAAATGTAAGCTTGTTTAAAGATGATTGAAGCTTTAAAATGTTGTGTTTGTTTTATGACACGAAATGAAAAATGTAATCTTTTATAATCCGGGCAGAAAGACAATCGAGTTCAGTTCCAACCAAAATCACAGACTTGATACGCAACGTAAAAACTTGTTCAACGCGAATTAAGTTGTATTTAAGTTGTGTAATAACTGGACTTATTTGTTGGTTAACAGAACGGATTCCATGTTGGCAACAACTGAGCTAAACGAATACGGCCCTGCTTTGTTTCGTTATTGACTGAACGCCAATCAGTTCGTCATGTCTTATATCTTAGCACAAGCAGACTCGAAGTGATCGCCATCAAAACCGCGAAGTATACATGCGAGTTTAACAACTCTTCAAACAGCAATTCATTCATTCATTCATTCATTCATTTAATTTGCTTTAAATGGAGACTGTTTATCGGTAGGGTTGTTATGATTTATCGCTTAAAAGAGACTTAAGAAATTCACCAACCTAACTTGAAAGCACAGTTTCCATTTCAAAGTAAATAGCAACCACCGACTAATAAGACACGGTGTCAATAATATCTGTTTTGCCTTCAAACATTGTCACACTTGAATGATTTCGAAGCAACCAGAGAGCTAAGTTTCTTGAGGTTTGAAAAGAAGGCTTCTATGCAATACCGACGATGAATGAAATTACGATTGCCCTGTTAGCTCCTTTGAAAAACATAGCGTTTAGAGGCACTTAAATCTAAGATGATTATTATGATACTTGTAACTTCTTAACAATGGGACATCATCGAAGTACTTTAAAACATTTTAACTTGGGGTGTTTTACCGTAGTTTAACTAACCTGACTTTCCGACACCTTCCTTGCCGAGTATGTAGGCCTTCGGTGGCTTCACCGTAATCTGATGTGGCCTCCGTCTTCTCATGATCTTAGCCTGGCTGTTCCAACTTGCACTCACTTAATTACAGCTTCTGAAAAGAACTGAAATACCACAGCAGTTAATTAGTCAATAGATCACCGAGCGCTAAAATTATGATCTGACAAGACACATAGCTTTAGCTCATATTCATTCACTGCAATCGTTTACATTACGTATTTTAATGAAAGAGACATACCACCACCTGGTTTGCTATAATTCCTCGGCTAATCTAGATTTCAATGGCCTTCGCTGAATTTACACCAGTACGGGATTACTTCAAGATTGCCCTCAGGGAATTTTTTCACAACTTAAACAAACCTTTATCAAAATACTTGTAATTTGTGTTGGAGACCGCAAAAAGTTGTGGTTTTACCCGACGGTTTTCAATTACCGCCTCCACTTAAGTTTTATCGTTAAAATAACATTTGACAAAACAATATAATATTAATTGATCATTCTTTGGATTTAACAAACGGTAAGAGTTCCGCTTTGGATTTGAGCTGTTGCTTAGTTGATATAAACACTGTGTGTGAATTGGCAACATAAAGCATTTTACACCTTAATACGCTCGCACTTTACAGAAACAAAACCTCTGCATTGCCCTTGATCGTGTTAATCCACTCCATGAGTGAAATGAACAAAATTAAAAGCACAAAAACACAACAACTGATTTAACAGTCAAACTTAAAACCCGTGACGCGCTTAGCATTTCTTACAAGGCTAATGAGTATAGCTAGAGTGCACATATAAACACAAAGGAAGACCTTACTAACCTACCGTCTCTTCATACCTTCGTATTCAAACTGTTTAGCGAATGAGTGTCTTCGAAGAGCGAACTACGGTGACCCACTTAATTATGTCCTGGAAGCTAATCATGTTGGATTCATCATATTTTCGCGTCGCAGTCTTTTAGTAATGAATCTCTTGATTAAATGAGAACAATTGAAGCCAATTCTTGTAGCATGGTGCCGTGACCTCTGCATGCAATACGTGTATTCATGTATAGCTTAGGAGCAATCAGAGCAAAATATCACTGATGCTGATGATAACAACCCTATTGCGACATAATTAAAGGTTTTCTACCCCCGCCTCTTGGATTTTGCACGGCTAAGTTTAAAAGGTCGACAGGGAAAGATAGACGTAATCCATTTCATAAAGAAAGAATTCTCTGTGGTCACGAAAAACAAGAAATAAATAAACCAGAAATAAAGGTATTTAGGCACACAACACTTGAACATTTGGGCCTCAAAACCTGATGTCATAATTGTATCTGGCAAAGAGGCAAAATTGAATACTTATAATAGCCACAATACTTTCACGTAATCTTTGGGTATCAGTTATTTAAAAAAGCTTAAAGGAATGATTTTTGTCGAATTCTTGGTTCTAGTGGTACAAAAATGTACCACTTCTGAAGCCGTTTTGGTTTTATTGAGGTTTAAGACGATGAAAGGCCACCCAGCTGAATTGACAAACCCCAGTTGTCAATCATGAGAGAGTTTACGAATTAAACTATAGCAAACGGCAAAAAATGTCAATTTAACACAGACAGAAGTAGAAAAAAATTCCCTGATCACAGCAAAAATAAATGTTCTCAACGGTTATGTGCATATGGCTAAAGACAGATAGCAGAAGTTTAAATTTTGTCGTTTGCCATATGGCATGTAATCGCCAAACGTAACCTCTCCATTATCTCGCAATCTTCTTCTCGGTTGATCCCAGTTTCTGTGTACTGTCTTTGACAAGCGGGCGGTGGATACAACATAACAAAGAGTAACTTTTAAATCAGACACGAAGACGGAAAATTCAGACTAATCAACCGCAAACAAACTTAGTTCACAATTCACGCCTCTGCCCGGATAACTTCAAACCACAATGTTTATTCCTAGGAGGTCGACGAAACCACAGACACCGTACTGAAATAGCTTTGTAAGAGGATTAGGAAAGTTAATTCCCTCTAATCACAAGGAAATACAAATTAAATCTGAGCTTCCGATTCTTATACAAAGTTGAAAGATCACTTAAAATTGAAAGGTCTTCATGAAACAGACCGCTGTACAGAAAGCACGTTTAGAACTTGGTCGTCTTTGTACGAACGAGAAAAGTAAGCTCTTCAAAGCTGACCTTTGTTCCCAAAAGGCTGACTTCTAGATAGGCTTTCTCCATTATCCATTAATAGCCCTTTTCACGGTTACCTTTGCTCATTTGCATCACAATAAAATCTAGCATGTATGTGAGGCAATTTCGGGCTATTCTGTAGTTTTAGCCCGAAATTGCCTCGCATCCACGTTGGATTACATTGTCATGCAAATGAGAAAAATTAACCGGGAAAACGGCTATTGCTGACATAATGCGTACATCTTAAGAAAATTTGTGAATTTAGACCGTACTAATTCACTCTATCTAGCTAGCATAAAATTAAGTTGTTTTCAGTTTCATCACACTTAAATTACATCGCTCCCGAGCGCACATATGGAAGAGAGTGCAGGAAATTGAAAAACACAACCGCTATTTATGACCTTAATTTTTGAGGATGATTGAGCCAACTACACAGACTTCAAAACTAACCACGGAACTTATCACTTTTTTGCTGAAGAAAGGTCATTCGATCGAGGGATCAATAAAGATATTTGGACATTCTCCCATTTTGGAATTTACACCTTCCCCTCGGGGAAAATGGGCAGTGATATCACTATTTTATCACAGCTGGAATTTCATTTCATTAAAAACAAACCATTGCCACAAGCTCTGAATTAACTAAAGCTCGCGAAAGGTCGCTAACTTTTCCTTTTATCTTTCTCTCATTTTTTTTTTAGATATTTTAACTGCGGCATGAAAATCCTTTCTAAATTGCTTGACATTCTAATCTGTCAACTGTATACATTTCGTGGTAAGTGTTTTATGAACTATACTAAAACTGTTAATTTTTTACTATTTTTAACCTGATTATGTAATGGAATAGGTAATACATTTTTGCTTGGAACCGGTCCAAGCCCTAGATTACCCTTAATTGTTTTCATATTCCCTCTAAGAATTTGTAAGTTATTAGAATATTCCAGTAACGTTTCTAGTGCAATAAAATTATAAGTTGTTGCTGTTCTACTGCTGCGAAGTTGCATTTCTTTACTATAGACGTGGGAAAATTTCAGAGCAAAATTGGCGAATACCCCTTTCTTTCCTGACCAGAGACTTACAAAATCCTGTCTGGTTCAGCAGAGTTTATGAGTTTTATTATATAACTGAGAAAATTACTTCATTGTGATTGGCTGAGAGCAGGCCAATTTATCGTTAATTTTTAATTTGTACTGCAGCGCAAGTTAACGAGCGCGCTTTCGTGATTTTCCCAGTCATATAATAAATAGCTAATAAATGAGTAATCGAATGAATGCTCGAGTAATTAAGGATTTACACCACTCATGATATTTAAATGTCCTTTCAATCCTTAATTGCACTCGCATTCATGCGATTACTTATACTTATTGCATACGCTGTGACGGACACAAAAACCTCCGGAAGCCGGCGCGACGACGACCTACTGATCTGAAGACTTTATGAATTGAAAAGAAAAAACCAAAAGAAAAAAAAAACCTATGAGTTGTGCTTCACATAGTTTGTCAGGTCCTACAACACACGACAAAAAGAAACATACCGTCTGCATATAATTATTTCGTCTACGGTATGAAAAGGACCAGTAATTTCTCGTATCAAACGCACTACGCCAATATTTAGAACTACTGATTACTTTGAACTCCTGTTATCCTGCTTCAACCTGCTACGTAACATTAAAACATTAGGAAAATAACAAACTGATTGAAGAGCATAAAAAACCCTTAACAACTAGAAAACTGTACGATGTTTCCGTCACGGACAAAACTTTCGATGTCTATTAAGTTGACTCATAGTCACAACACTTCTACAAGTATTTCGAGTAGAGTGCCGTCAGCGGCGTAGCATTTGAAGGTTCGTGGCCCAACACACGCTCTTCAGTTCGGTGAAGAACAACTTGGAATCTGAAAAACACCGTCAAGATCTGAGCGGAAGGAAAAGGCAACACCGGTTGACGTCAGAAATCAAAATTGAGATCAAAATCTGGTATTTCCGTTTTAAAAATAAAACTGAAAAAAAAGAGTCTGGTCGTTAACATCCACAGTTGAAGAGACAAGTTTGATGTCATCTCCAGAGCTCAACACAATGGGCCTAAGCGCAATTGATGGGTTTTTAGCACCGGGATTAGCGCAAATAAGCTTATATCTTCCTAGATATTCAGCTATTAATTAAAGTAAAGTCCTTAGCCCTGCTTAGCTTAGATAGCACGAATCGACAAGAACACTTGACGAACGATAAACTGTTTACAATATACATGGGACATATTAAAGACGATTTCGTAAACTGGACTGGGAGTCTCTTGATCATGTAAACACATTATAGGCACATCGGTGATTATTCCAATCAATTGCTGAGTTCTATCTACACAATATCGTGCTTTTGTGAAGAAAAAATTGTCTAGCCTTTGCAGTAAGTCTATTTAGGGGTTCTATCAAAATATTGTTTTAGTCTCAACAAAAACTATCGCGTCATTCATCGTGTGCAACTGAGCTCTTTCGACTGGCGTACCTTTGGACTGATCGGCGTTCAACCTTCTCAGTCTCGCAATTTTCTTTATAATAGGGACTCAACCGCAAGGTAATCAATACGAAACTTGACTTCAACAGTAACTACCTGGTTTTGTTTTCTCGCGTTCGCCGGACAATGTAGCCTTCGTTTGTCTCCTAGCTTCAGTGTTGCACTTTGTTCACCGGCCCTGCTTTTCTTCGCGTGGCGACTTACTCAGCAGGCTGACTGAAAAAAGGAAATATATGGTGGAATTCTGAAAGATTGTTTCGTTAATTGCTCGATGCTGACAGCCAAGATGGACAGGTTAGTCTTGTTACGGAGCTTGGTATCCGGATTGTGAACGGTTTGTCCTGGAGTGCAAGATAAGAAACGTGTTTTAAAAAGAGAAATATTGACACTTCTCAAGCTATGCAAGAAATTCCACACGAGCCAGGAGAAAAATCTGGGCGAGACGCGTAGAAATCAATACCCACTTTAAGAGTTATCTGAAGCATTTTTGCTGGCACTACGGAAGGAAACTAGTTTATTCTTGTTCGGAAAAAGTGCATATTAAAAACGTTACAGTGAAAGTAGTGATGTCTTTCAGGTAGCGAGCTTTTATTTTATTTCCCTACGTTGTGAAACATTCTTCTGTTAAGAGTTGAAGAAGGGTATGTAAAACACATTAAAAACCTTTTGAATGGCCTTGTTGTTTTTGTGGCAGTGATGCACGGATCAAAACACCTTCTTGCTATTTATTTTAAATTAAAGCCACCAGTGTGAAATAATGAAGAGGATTACTGTGTGATGAGATGGCCAGGCCTGATAGCCTTCTCATGTCCAATGCTTGATGTATATTCAACAACACACTCGGTAAAGAACTACGAGGTCTTAAGATTTTAAGCAACGTTTCAATTTCATTTAACAAATTCACGAGTCGGATCTTGTTGAGATATTCTAGTGCTCTAGCGACCTCTAGAGTATTTGTTCACGTTACATTCACATTGCCGCGGCAGAACTCAACCCCACAGCAATTAAAAAGGTTTTGATTGTCGGAATATCGAAACAAATAAAACCATTATGTGCATTTGACCAAGATGATGAACTTCACTTACACTTGCTTAACAATTGGAAAATTCAGCCTATCTTCCAACGTTTGAGAACTGAAAATGATAAATAGTCTTTAAAGCCATAATCGAGTTTTGTCCATGAACTCAGAGCTTCTCAGTGTTACTCAAGGTCAGGCCATAAGAACGCCTCCGGCATTTTTCACTTATATTGATCTTTTTGAAGAATAAACATTAAAACCATCGTGTTGAAAACATTTTACCCCGTTTCAACTTTCAGTGTCTGTAGTGTCAGGATAAAACGGAGTAACAGCTGTTAGAACTGATCAAAAATTAACTTCGCTTTGGCTGCCGATAATTAAAAGGTTTTCAGCATTTCAGAAGTGAACTACGCGTAACTTAATGAGCGAGTCAGTTATTCCATTTCCACTCCGGTCATATTGTGCAATGTTAAAACAATTGAGTTCAAGAAATAGAGACGCTACAGTGTACTTACTTCGGTACAATTAATTGCTTCCTGTCTTTGAATCTCTCATAACCATAAAAGGCTTCTGTCCCGTGAAAACTGCTTATCGGATAACTTTCCTATAAGGCTAAAACCTTGAAATATTTACGCTATTGCACAGCAGAGATGACTTGAAACCGCTCATGACTTCAGCTCTCTTTGAGTTTCATTCTTTCTCAGCGTAATCCAATCGCCTTACTGACGTATTTTGTCGTCCACGCGTCGCATGCGGTACAGGCGAATTGATTGTTTGAATATAAAACATGGCAGAGTTTGTTGTTTCGCGCGCGAGGCTTGCCTCGATCGCAGTTTGAAACAGTGCGGAATGTAAAAACCCAACATAGTGCGGCGATTTGATCTCTTGTTCTGGAATACGGCGCGAAAAATGCTGGGGCGTAACTGGTAGCGTGCTTCGCCGAGATCCCTGCGATAGTGACAGTGATGAACACAAATGAGGGGATTTAAGTGTGTAGTAAATCTTAAATCTTGTATTTTGTTGGAAATTGGGATAAAGCTTTGTTGATTATCAGTTCTAAGTACTCCAGATTGTTTATTTTCGCTGCGGGAAATGTTTACTAAAGCGTCCCACAAACCTCCCCTTTGGGCATTTTACGAGTTGTTATCTACTTCTGCGTGATGTTTGCCTTGAGCCAAAACGATACTAACCGATGACAGAAGGTAAGCGATCAGGTAAAGTGAAGATAAAGGGGCAAGAAATATTTGCCCTGTCATCATTGTACTGAAATTTGTTTGTCACCTGAAATAGGAAAATCCCTCAACCTGCCTAATTATAACGCAAATTGAGGTCACCATGTGTCGAAAACTGAGAACGACGCTCTCCTTAATTATGATTTCGCTTTTTCTTGTGGTTAGGAACAATTTTGCTCTAACTGGCGCGTTAATTAATCTCTTACGGCTCGGGCAGTGTGCTGTTTTCATGCAATATTGCACGCTCCGATTCTTTGATCTAGTGCCCAGATATCAGGCATGCCGGAGCACTGACCTAATTAATTAAGAAAACCGCGGAAGGGCACAAAACACGTGTTAAGTGTTTGCTCCATTCCAGTTTCATTTCACTTATCCTCACTCCACACTTTAACACAAACATTGCCAGGCGCGGGGAATGATGGGATTTTATTACGTTTTTGCAAGACCCCATAAGCCACTGGGCTTAAGGTGGTATGGTACCCTCAATATGGACCAAAAAGTTTGTTAAAATATGGTGAAGAAAGATCAATTGTGTGCTATT